CTGGATTCCATGGCCTAAAACGCTCCCAGTCACCAACTTCCAGCTCCTGACAAGACAATCAACGCACCGGACGGCTCAGCATCGGCTGTGACTACTGGAAAAAGGACAGGAAGAGCTGTTGCTGTTTGCAAGTGGCAGGAGTGGGCATTATCTTTCCATATGGGAACTAGCATCCCAACAGCACCTCCAACAATTTACAAAAAGCCATCTGCTGATGGGATCTGTCCCCTCAGAGTCACAAAGCTCTATCTAACAGGACAAGACGATGCCTGGGGAGCAAAGCAGCCTGGAGGGCAAGGTCAGCACAGGAAGGAGGGAGAGAGCCTGCCTCGGGGATACCCAGGGAAAGGCTGAGCAGGAATCCACTGAGGACCTGGGACGGTTTTGGGCAGTCAGCAACACATTCCATTTGGCCTGCTTCACCAGGGACTCCTGGCACTCAGCTGAAATGGAATTCGAGGAGGACAAAGTCTGAATCAGCATGCATTATCCATCAGTGAGCCAGCAGCCAGCAGGGAGGGTGACCTTCCCAGGGCACAGCAGTCAAATTCCCAGGATGCCAGGACACTGAATCAAAGGCATGGGGACTCAGGCTGCAGATGCTCCCACCCCACCTCGTCTTTTGTGCAGACCATCAAAAGACTCAAGCTAATGGTAACTGGGGCCAGGGTGATGACTGTCGTGTGAAAGCTAAATCCATACTTCTAGATGAGGTCACAGAGGTTGCAAAGTCACCCTAAAGAGTTTGGAAAGGAGCAGGTAAACGAGTGCACTCACAGCTGAGGAAAGAACGCAACCACTAAGAGGAGGCTCAAAAGTCACAGAACAGACCCAGGTCCATCCTAGATCCACGCTCCTTTCCTCTTCCCTCCACTGGAGCCCTCTCGGAAGTCTGAGGATGAGCCTGGAGGACTCAAAAGAACTCCACTAAGATCGTGACATGCAGACACAGTCAGCAGCCTTCCCTGGAGGGACAGCACACTCCAGGTAGGCACCAGCTGACTTTCTTCCAACTTCCAGTGGAATTCCACCATAAATGGCCATGGAGTTGCCTGCCTGCGAAGGATCCCCAGCCCCAGGTCAGAGAGGGCCTCATCCTAAGGACAGCCTTTCTGGGAGGTTCAGAAAATATCGAAACAGGTGCCCTACCTTTGGGATATACCTGGCCCAGTGGATTTGGCTCTGACTGCAACATTAGAATCCCTTCTCACCCCACCCAGACTAAGAGAATCCACGTGTCTAGAAAGGCTCAGGTAAGGGTATTTTGGAAGCTCCCTGGTGACTTTTTATGGACTCTGGATGGAAATCCAGTAAACGCACTGAGAATCCAGAGAAATGAACACCCACTTAAAGCACTGAAACACGTGATCAGAGCAATGTGCACGGTCTGGTGAACTGTCAACACTAAAAGGGACCTCGAAAGACGAACACCCCAATCTCCTCCTCATCTTGAAAGCCCAACCACAGAAAGGCAAAATGCCACCGGCCTCCTCCAGGAAGGGCTACCTCTCTCCCACAGCAAGAAGACACGAACTCCCTGCTGAGGTCAGAGCACTGGCCTAGCCACACCTGTGTCATCAAATGAGGGAAGCTATTACTAGACCTTCCCTCCCTATACAACCTACAACACTCCACAACGTGCTGTGCAGTTTAGCAAGAGAGACCAGAGTCTGGTTTACCCTCCTTGCACCAGTGACACCACAAGCTCACTGGAGGCAAAGTAAACCTTACGCCAGCTCAGTGTACTCCAACTCTCACAGAGCGCATCTGATACAAGAGTCAGTGATGACAGAATGTTCTATTTCTGCACTGTCGGTACTGCTTTTTTTTTTTTTTTTTTTTTTTTTTTTCCCCTGAGACGGAGTTTCGCTCTTGTCACCCAGGCTGGAGTGCAGTGGCACAATCTCAGCTCACTGCAACCTCTGCCTCCTGGGTTCAAGTGATTCTCCTGCCTCAACCTCCCAAGTAGCTGGGATGACAGGCACCCGCCACAACACCCGGCTAATTGTTTTTATTTTTAGTAGAGACAGGGTTTCACCATGTTGGCCAGGCTGGTCTCGAGCTTCTGACCTCAACTGATCCACCTGCCTCTGCCTCCCAAAGTGCTGGGATTATAGGTGTGAGCCACCACGTCCGGCCGAGGAACTGCATTTTTACATGTTAATTTTAATTGATTGTGTTTAAGTAGCCACATGCAGCTAGTCCACCCTATTAAACAGCACAGTGCAAGTATGACTCTTCCTACTACTACCATTGCGGACACTGGAAAAATACACAGGAGTGGCAGAGGCCAAGTAAAGAGACCACAGTCGATTCTCCTCTGCAGAAACCTCCTCTGGAGCAGGGCAAGGAAGGCTGCAGGGAGGCACATAATGCTCATTACACAGCCCTCCTCCGCAAGCAACAGAGTGAGAGCTCTTTCCCAAAGTGGTATCTACAAACTATCACCAAGGAACAAGCAAAAAGGGTTTGAGAAAGAACTGTAGACTTGTGTCAGAGCAGAGCAAGAATGAGTTGTGCAAATCAGCTAGACCAACTGCTCACTTTACAGATGAAGAAACTGAGGCTCACAAATGTAAAGAAACTTCCATAAAAATCATAAATCATGGGGTTGGAGGTAGCATGAAACTCAGCCCAAGGCTTTTTTCACTACAACTGATTTCCTCAGAGGATGATAAATCTGTAGAATTAGCAAGAGAAACTGGCTGTTTTCAATGCAATGTCAGGCACAGCAGAAATAAATTACTGACTCATGCCAGAAACGAATGGCTCACCACTGCTCCATTATAAGCATGGACACAGCAGAAGAGGAACCCACACACACACACATATCCCAGGAACCCACACAGAGAGAGAAGGAAGAATGCCAGGACTGGCTTTGATTTCTTCCCAACTCACTGGAGTAATCCCATAAAGGTTTGCTGACAGGTAAGCCTAGGAATTTGAGCCTTCGTATGTTCTTGCTCACCCATGGAAGAGTCACCTCCACAACATCAGAGTCTTGGAGATGTGACCGGACCAAATGGCAGACTCAAGACCCAAACATGCAGAAGCATCCTCGTCATCACCTGCCCAAGAAGCTTTCTCAGGAAGTCCTTCTCAGCCAATCTCCTGAAACACTGCAACCCAGCTTTGACTGGCCAGGCATCTCTTCCACATGGAGTTGGTCTTCCTCACTTCCTCACCTTCCCCAGGTCTCCTACACAAAGATCTGCCTGTCCTACTAACTAGACTGTAGACACTCCAAGGCAATAAATGCTCTTCCATTCCTTTAGGAGATCCACCATCCTGAGGGCCAGGTGTGTATGTTACTAAGGATTGGCCACAACAAAAGTTACAAATCCTTGAACATATGGGGTTTCTTTATAGATCTCAAGTTGATGCTACCTTTATAACACTGGACAGGTCTGTTTACCAGAGTGAAACACATTATCAGTGAAACACAATGTGGGCTGCACATCCCTGGAAGGTACTGCTGAGAAGGTGAGAAAGGGGAAAAGATTCTCTCACGCAGCCTCAAAACTGCCTCCCAATATCAAAGTCATCTCCTCTCACACAGCATCCCTAACTAAGGTGGCAGCCCCTCTGCAAAGTACAACACTCCTACCCTCCACTGACCTAAAGTGTGCCTCCTCCATCTGCTGCCAAGTGACACTTTGCTCCTTCAGTGAAGCTTTCAGCAATGCCAGCCAAGCACTCAGGCCAGGCCTTTCTCTGCACTCCCTCAGCACTTCAGACACACAACTCTTTTGGAACTTGTCACATTACTCTGCAATGATTTGTTGACAAACTTGTTCTCCTTTCCTGCCCCAGCTGACTGGGGACAGAATAAGTCTAAGCTCTCATTCATCCGACACTCTTTAGGGAGGCTGGAATCAGGGCTCTCCTCCTCTCCCTGCTCTCAGTGTTCTCACCTGTATTCTAGGATCCAGTTCTTCCTCCTCTCTTGGGGACAATTTGGCCTCACTGCTGCTGCTTCCACCTCCTCCTGGCTCTTCTGCGACTGGGCTCCTGGGGACTTCATCCTCTGCCACTTCAGGCCGCAGTTCCCCCTGTGGGGTTTCCCGCCCTCCTGGAACCTGTCTGAGCTCGGCCATGCTGACAGGGAGAGGGCAGAGCCCTATGCACAAGAGAGGACTGACATGCTGGGACCAGGGCCCCAGCTTGGGGCTTCCTGGGTTCTAGATGGCCAGGAGAAGGGTTTCTCTTCTCAAAAGGCAGAAAACGTGGGCACAGGAAGAACCTCACACTAGGTTAGAGGTTGACATTCAAGTTGTCAGTGGGGTTCTTAGAGCTGAAGCCTTGTCTGTGCAAAAGTTCTTCCCTTCCCGCCACAGGGAGTCCACTATGAGAAACCCGGAGCAACAGCTCCAAGGCGGGGGGCAAAGGGGGCTTGGATCCTGGGCCGAGGCCTGCTAGGAGGAGCACCATTCGGGAGGGTGGAGGCAGGCGCCTCCAGGCTGTGGTGGCAGCTGGAGAGAGAAGGTTGGGCCCGAACTGAGGCTGTAGGATGAGCGTCTCTGGAGAGCTGCAGAGAAACAAAGGCCAGGTCATGTCAGCATCAAAACCGCGGCCACCAGCCCCTTCCAACTCTACATAGCCTCCCAAAAGCTACACTCTCACCACGCCCCCACCCATGTATTCCGACCAGTCCCTACCTCAACTTCTCTCCTTAGCCTTCAAGGACTTCAGATTCTACTCTTCCTCCATCCCATCTCCTCTCGACCCAGCCCCTCCGCAGCCAGCGCCTTCGAGACTTTCCTCTGCACCCCTAGGCTTTCCTCCATCTCCTGCGGTCCCCCGCTCTTCCCACTCCACCCCCGCCCGGCTTTGCGATTCACCTTGTAACCCCGAGCCCCACCCCACCTTTTCTGTCCAACCCCAGAGACGATCTAAGCCTCCCGTCTCCAATTCCACACTCTTCTGCAATCCCAAGGACCCTACTCCCGGCCATTCTACCCAGCCATGCGCAAAAGCCCCCCTCACAGCCTTACCTCAGTTTACATTCCCGTCCGCGGAGCTTCTAGGCAGCAAACAATCTTCCCCCTCCCTCCCCGCAACAAGCCGATCCAACCAAAAACGACCAGGCAGACCAGAAGCGGAAATACGTCATCGGTGAACAACGCCCTCCCCCCCACGCTCTCGCTCAAGCCGGGCCTCCTCGGGAGGCCTCACCGCCCCCGCCCTGCCTTCGGTTTCCGTACAAAATGGCGCCCCACGCTGCTCAGGCTGGTCCTAGGTTGCCTCCAGACCATCCTCTACCAAGGCTGAATGAAAGAAACACATGAATGTGGCGCTGACGAAAATTCAGGCGCGGGATGGAAGTCGAGAGTAACTGGTGAGAAGAGCAATACTAGCTATAAAATGGAGATAATAGCCTCAGAGAGAAGTGCCATCTTGCTTTACGGAGCTGCGGCGGCGGCTGTCCGGAAGCCACTTCCGGCCTGGTCCGGGAAGGCGGGCGCGACGCCGAAAGGGAGCTGGTCAAGTTCCGGTAGCGGCTCCTGGGGCGACTCCAGTCCGGACCCTGGCGGACTTCGCCGGCGAAGGCAAAGTCGATTTCCAAAAGTGACTTTCCTCCCTCCAGTGAAGGCGGCGGAACCCTTACTAACGGCGTGTGAGCGGACGGCTCCGATGGGTAAATCCCAGCCCTCGAGGCCTCTGGACCTCGCACTTGAACGACATGTTGGTGTGGTCACCAATTACTCCGTGAATACTAATCAGGAACGTAGTCAACATTAACTCAGTTAATTCACTCGTGCACCCAGGGTCAGATGCCCTCGATGAGCAGGAGTTTGTTCCATGGCATTGTGTGTCGTTACCTGGGTCCATGAACGAGCGACCCGGTTGTCACCTCTACCTGTCGCTTGGTGAGGCGAGGGCCTAGGCCTAAGGGGAAGGGCTTCAGCGTGGCATGCTTTGTTTTTACAAAAGGCGTAACTTCCTCGGAGTCAACTCAAAGTTTGCCCTGCAGATGGAAAAGGCAAATGGGCTGAGTTCCCCTTCTTTTTGGATCCTGGCAAAGATAACCCAGCTAGACACTGAAGCAGTGAAAAAGACTTTATTCAGTAACCACTTACAGAAAGGGAAAGAACTGACCTCTGTTCCGATTTCTACAGAAGTGATTGGGCATGTCAAAGGGAGAATGAAGGAAGGAAGGTGATCAGGGCTCAACAGTGTCAGAGAAGTGAAAAGTTACAGAGTTGATTGGCATAGATGCGATTAGGCCAGATGTGTCTACTGGCTAGCAGCTGTAGAAGTTAGAATGCTACTCTTATTTATTGATTTTGAGAGCGGAGTTTCACTCTTGTCCGGGCTGGAGTGCGATGTCGCGATCTTGGCTCACTGCAACCCCCACCCCCACAAGTACAAGAGATTCTCCTGCCTCAGTATCCCAAGTAGCTGGGATTACAAGTGCATGGCAACACCTCTGGCTAATTTTTCTATTTTTAGTAGAGACGGGGTTTCCCCGCGTTAGCCAGGCTGGTCTCAAACTCCTGACCTCAGGTGATCCACCCGCCTAGGCATCCCAAAGTGCTAGGATTACAGGCGAGAGCCACCACGCCCAGCCTACAGTGCTATTGTTGCACTGATATTGGGAGGTAGAGGCTCTGCCCTTCTTGACGATCCATTTCAGAGGAATGGCTCTCAGGTCCTTTAAGGACCTCTTGAGTTGTAGCAGACACATAAAACACCTTAAAGAGAAGAAAGAAGGATTCATAATTGTAAGCCCTTAATAAACGCCCTGAGAAAGGGAGATCAGGAGCCTATATCATCGGGTGTTGGCTAGAACAAACAGTAAATTCTCCTGTCTTAGCATTGAGCTTTCTCAGGCAGGCATTTTCATGGGGGAGCTGGGGTTATCCTAGGGACGTGATCTTACACTGCTAGAAGGCACGCTAAAGTTTGTCTCTTAGTAACTCAGAGGTTTGGATGGAGTCATGTGCCAAGAGTTCTACAGTTCTCAGTCCATTTCTTCTACCCCTTCATCCCATGAATAACGATTTTTTTAATTGAGCAGAGCAAAATATATTCCTTTAAAAGAGGTGATTGAAAACAGATTTTCCATTAAATTGGAGGCTTGTTTTTAAAATTACAAAAGTGATTTTTCTAATTTCAGTAAGTCAGCAGGACCTTGAGTAACATTGTCTAAGTGGACAGCTTTGATGGATAATAACGCCTCAGTCTTCTACTACAGTCCTTTTTGTTATTAAAGTGCCATACAGAAACCATAAAAATTAAATATAAGGTGATAAACATGATTTATTTGTTCTCTACCAGTCACTTTAATTTTGTAGAACTAGAATTTCACTGTAATAACCTCATTTTACCCAAGATGTTCTGTTTACCCCAGCCTGAATTCTCCAACCTTTGTTATTCAGCACTGTTCCAGTACCTGTCATTCTTATACCCCATCGCATAGCTCCTTTTCTCTGTGTAATGCTTAGCAATCACAAACTGCTGCCACTTGTTACAGATCTTTGGTGGGAAAACATGAATACATAGAATGCCCAGACCTCTAGATCACGTCCTGAGCTTTAGCATCCCCTTTAAAGTCTCCACTGGTCTCTTCCAAGGTTGACTCTCACCCACTGAGACCAGATGTGAATCTATCATGTATAGATTGTAATATAATCCCACAAGAGTTTTTCTGCTGGGTTTGGATAATGTTTTAGGTAGGAAGAGATTGGGCGATGCTGTGCATTGATTTAACCTAAACTTGTTTATTGAAGCCAGCCACAAACATGATGAATTAAAACTTTTGTCTAGAGCTGCACTGTCCGAAAGACCTTTCGGCAAAGAAGGAAATGTTAATCAGCTCTGCACAGTATGGTAGTCTCTAGATACATGTGGCCATTTAGAACTTGAAATGGAGCTAGTGTGATTAAGAAATTGTATTTTTTATTTTAATTTAAATAGCTATGTGTAGCTAGTGGCTCCTTTCCTGGGCAGCACATTTGTAGAACCTGCCTTTTCTATATAATTTCTTCAGAACACATACTGAACTTTCACATCTTCAATACAAAACAGCCTTTCAGTCTCCACTCTCATTTGTCTTTTCTCCACTTCCTCTCCCTTCCCATTCACCTCTACAGTCTGGCTCCGGATGCTGCCAATTCATAGGAATTACAAAGATAAGGTGATCCATGCTCTTATTTAACTTCCGAGTCACCCTTATACTGGGTTTCCTCTTCTCTGGCTTGTTGATTCATTCCTTTATGCAATATGTCTTTACTGAGTGCCTATTATGTGCCAGAATTTCAGGCAGTGTTGAGAAAAAGGACACTATCTCAGTTCCCATGTAGCTGATAGTCTATGGTGCTCATTTTATTTTATTTTATTTTATTTTATTTATTTATTTACTTATTTGCTTGAGATGGAGTCTCACTCTGTCGCCAGGATGGAGTGCAATGGAGCAATCTCGGTTCACTGCAACCTCTGCCTCCCAGGTTCAAGTGATCCTCCTGCCTTAGCCTCCTGAGCAGCTAAAACTACAGGCACATGCCACCACGCCCAGCTAATTTTTTTGTTTTTTTAGTAGAGACAGGGTTTCACCATGTTGGTGAGGCTGGTCTCCAACTCCTGACCTCAAGTAATCCACCTACCTCGGCCTCCTAAAGTGCTGGGATTACAAGTGTGAGCCACCACGCCCAGCCGATGGTGCTCATTTTATAAACTGGTGAGATTCAAACTAATTGGAAGACAACCCAGATACATGTTTTACCTTGCAACCCAGTATACATATATGTGTGTGTAAATATATTCATTAAAAAGGTACAAGAAAAGATCTTTACCCAAATTATATGTAAAGCACATTAATATTTTTATACTATTTTTAAATGCTGGTGGAGATCTCTTTTTTGATTTCATTACCTATTCACAGTTTGAAAACCCTGTCCTAAATGTTACTGTGCCCCAGGCCCTGATGTTAGCCTCTGACCATCTCATGCTGCCTACTTTCCCTGAGTGCCCTTACCCTAGTGCATGGCTGTAGTCCTTACCCATGGCTACTGTTCCTTCCTTGGAGCTCTTTCTCCACAGACTTTCCACAGATCACATTCTGAGATCCGTCAGCCTTTGAGATACAGCTGGCCTGTCCCAGAGTTGCCTCCCTGTCGTGGATCCAAATCTGATTTCATCCCCTTTCCCAGATCCTGCTCTTCTGACATTTAATGTTGGTAAATGGTTCTACAGTCCATCTCTTTACCCTAGGGAAAAACCTAGAAGGCACCCCCCACATTGCTTTTCATCACACTGAGTATCTCAGAGAGATGCCTTCTGTTCATCTCATTGCTGTAGCTTCAGCTTAGACTCTCCTCATTTCCGTCATAGGTCACAACCTCCGAAGTCTTCTAAATCAGCGCTTAAGGTCGCACTTAAGCAATGACAGAAGTTACTATAGTTGCACTGTCCAACATGGTAGCTACTAGTCATGTGTAGCTCTTTTCCAGGTTTAAATAGCCACATATGGATCCTGTCACAAGGATCCCTCCTAGTTCCTGGTATTAATAAACAAGCAATCCACCCTTGTAGCCTGACTTAGTGAGTGAAATGTAAAAATATGAAAGCCATATGAAGATGTTAGCAACACCGTCAGTTACAATGTAATATCACAAATCAACTTTACTTCTTAGTTAAATTTTTTCATAAATTTTTACTTGCAACTTTTATTTCTAATTTTCTCACATAAGTACCCTAAATTGCCTCCATCATTAAAAATTACCTTTTTTAGGTTTTTTTGCCTACCAATATAAGCTATCTTTTTATAGTTCTTAACTTTTTTCCTACTGTCAGTTATATATTTAATAAATACCACCATTAATTGCTGATTAAACATTGGAGTTGACAAATATATAGTAATAGAAAGCAGATCAGTGGTTGCATGGTGGGGAGGTGGTAGAGATTACAAAGTGGCATGAAGCAACTTGTGGGTAGTGGATATGTTCTCCATCTTGATTGTAGTGAGGCTTTCTTGAGGATATATATATATATGTCAGAACTTTTCAAACTGTACATTTCAGTGTGTAATTTGTATATCAATTATACCTCCCTAAAACTTTTTTAAAAATCCAGTTGAAGGCCAGGCGCGGTGGCTTACGCCTGTAATCCCAGCACTTTGGGAGGCCGAGACGGGTGGATCACAAGGTCAGGAGATCGAGACCATCCCGGCTAACACAGTGAAACCCCGTCTCTACTAAAAAATACAAAAAATTAGCCAGGCGTGGTGGCAGGCGCCTATAGTCCTAGCTGCTCCAGAGGCTGAGGCAGGAGAATGGTGTGAACCTGGGAGGCGGAGCTTGCAGTGAGCAGAGATCAAGCCACTGCACCCCAGCCTGGGCGACAGAGCGAGACTCCGTCTCAAAAAAAAAAAAAAAAAAAAAAAAAATTCCAGTTGAAAACTTGCTCCCAGAAATATATAATGTAAAATCTACTAATAAATGTTAATGAAAGGGACAGCCTGTATTACACTTATTTGTTTATTTAACTTTTTAAAGACAGGGTCTTGTTCGGTCACCCAAGTTGGAGTGCAGTGGCCTGATAATAGCCCACTGCAGCCTCCAACTCCGGGGCTCAAGCAATCCTTTTGCCTCAGCCTCCCAAGTAGCGAAGACTACAGGCCTCCACCACCATGCCTGGATAATGTTTTGATTTTTGTTTTTGTAAAGATTGGGTCTTGCTATTTTGCTCAGGCTGGTTGTGAACTTCTGGGCTCAAACAGTCCTCCTGCCTCAACCTCCCAAACGATTAGAATTACAGACGTGAGCTCCCATGCTTGCCCTGAACCTATATGAATAAAAATCTTTATTTTTACCCTTGTTAAATCTGCTGAGTTTTCCAGAGGTAA